TCAGCAGGAGCAATCCAGTTATTTTCAGTTTAAATGATCAAACTTTTGATACTGGAATCTAATTACTTAGAAGTAATCTGCAGTTTATTATTAGGAGAAAATAATTTTGGCAGTGTTAAAGCAAAGCAGGCTGTTCACAGGTCATTCAAAGAAATATTTTTTAACTATTTGTTGCAACTTAAATTCCAATCCTAATAGGAATCCTTATATGAAAAACATACCTTGTATATTTGTGGTTCTTATACTAGAAATAGTGTTCTGAGCAGAAAACTTGCTATGAGAACTAAAACTCACAGAAAACAGAAGCAGTAAGGAATGTTTATGAAATCTTGTTAATATTTTTATTTCCAGAGGCTGCAGTAGATAGACAGATCACGTTTCCTTTATCTCCAGCTCATAATAATGAAGTGGAGAGAAATGGAAAACCAGGACTGGTTGAATTCAGTGAAGAAATGCAGTATATGGATGTAGAGGAACCACAATGTAAGTTTTATTTCTCTTGTTATACAGTGCTTTAAAAATGAGGTTGCTTTTTTCTTTTTTTACTAATACACTGGCATTTCTCTGCAAAAATTTCTCAGCCATTTAAAATAAACTGATTTCTCATCCCTCTTCACCTTTGCCTGTCTCACTGGTTTGTTTCATGTTATTGCCAAACGTAAACTTACCCTGTTCCAGCAGTATTTTACTTAGTTTCCTTAGATAGTTTTAATAGAATATTTCTTTGCATACGTGGCTTTTTTAGAAATTGCCGCATAAACCAAGAAAAAATAATAAACAGCTAGTAAAGAATTTATAACTAGTCATGTTGACTTTCAACCACATCAGACTTGCTGTGCCTGTTTTTATAACCTTTTTGGTAACCAGTACTCTTCCACTAACTCTCTGTTAGAGAGACTATGAAAGGCAATCAGACTGGATCTGAGTGAGGAGAGCTACAGACTAAAAACAGCTAGTTGGAGTGAATCAGTTCCAGGACTATAATTCTTTTTCTTGGTCCTTTCAACAGTCGTACTTTACACCTTCTTTTTTTTGATGTGATCGGGCTTACCTGGAGCATTGGGTCTCTGCCAACCCAAACCATTCTGTGGTTCTGTGACTCCAAGAAAGGTGTTGCAAAGGATGAGGGGAAGGGACCAAAGGGGCGATAGAAGTGCTGCAAGGAGGTGTTTCATGCTGAGAAGGAAGCAGCAGATGAGTGAATAATAATTTCAATATACCACTGGAGAAACAAATTAGTGTCATCTTTTTTCTTTTTTTTTTCTTCTAACAGTTCTGTCCTGCTTCAGAAAAGACTCAGTAAGAGTTATGAATCAAAGTAATTGGTTCGTCATATTATCAGTTGTGTATTTTGTGGCCCTGATGAACCAGTCAATATATTATCCTTATAATAGGACTGAAAACGCTTTGAAAACTGCCACTTACCTTTATTGATTTCAAGTGAACCTCAAGTAATTGTTAGTTTTTTCAATGTAGAGTTTATGTATGTAGTGATCAGAGTTTGACGTGGTGTATTTTTAACCCATGCAAATGATCAGATTTTGTGACTTAATTATGAGTAGTTCAGGTCCGTATTACTCATGTTTTTTAAGGTCTTAGATTGTGTCCGTTTCTGGAGGAACATAAGGAAGATATACTTTGTGGTCCAGTATGGCTGGCTACTGGACTTGATCTATCAGGACATGCTGGAATGTTGACATTAACAAGTCCAAAGCTTGTTAAAGGTAAGCCAGTTTATTTTGCTATTCACATGAATACTTCTGTAGCCAGACTTTGGTTTGTATTTGTTTCCACACTGACAAATTTTGCTGTGTAACACAATATTGAGTTACCTTTTCAAACTGATGCTAAAGTACTGTAATTAATGTAGTTGAGCTCTGTGAAGTTGTTTACAACTTGCCCTATTAAACTATGCAAATTCTCTCTCCCCCCTTTCTTTATTTTCCCCCTCATTTTAGGCATGGCTGGTGGCAAGTACCGCTCATTTTTAATTCATGTTAAAGCAGTGAATGATAGAGGAACAGAAGAAATCTGCAATGGTGGTGTTAGACCGGTAGTTAGAATACCGTCTCTAAAACCTCAGACTAACAAGGGCCATTCCCTTGCTTCCTTGTTGGCAAAAGTTGCAGCAGGCAAGGTAATGAACAGCCAAGAAAGACATCTGTGTTAAAGTTGTAAAATTGGTATGATTTCTGTGTTCAGAAAGTGAAACAGCTGTTAGAAGAATTAAGATCCATTAAAAATTATTTTTTTAAGAGTTGACACTGTTAATTTCTCCAAGAATCAGAGTTCAGCAAAGTTATTTCTTCTGTGCAAATTCAACTGAGAAGATCTGTTCTGCCACTTTACCATTCTGAGCACTTGTGTTTGAAACTTCTGTCTCCATGAGAGTTTTCAGGAGCTGAAAGACTTCATCCTCTTAACAAAAATCTTTTTGTGTATTTTGTTCTTGATTGTTGTAGTTGTTAGCATTGGATGATACAATGTATGTCTTGTGGACATTATTAGAATGGTTAGAGCATAATAAATTACAGAACATTGTTAAATGTGATGTTCCGTATTAACTTAATGAATAAAAGTTGTCTCTTTTAGTACAATGCTCAAACCGAGTGAGAAATTTTACTGAACTGTACACACTTCTCTGAACAAGGTATATGCGTGAAACAGTCAAAACCAATGGGATTTATGAACTTTTTTTTTCCCCCCAAAATAAAAAAATCAGGAAAAGCCATCTAGCAAAATTGAAGCCACTAATTGTACAAGAAAATCAGATAATCTGAGAGGCTGTGACTTACTTCAAGAAGTCTCTGTAACAATTAGAAGATTTAAAAAAACTTCCATTTCAAAGGAAAGGTTAGTAGACGGTTTTTAATTCTAAAAAAATAGTAGTTTTAGTTATACTTCTCCTAGAATAATTAGTTCTCCAAATAGCTCAGGTCAAACCACTGTTTCATGTTGTCATTTCATAAATGTGTTTTATATGGAAAATCCTGTAAATTGTCAGTTCGAGGGCACTATGCCATGCAAGTTGTGGTTGAATAACACCATGCATGAAATTTGCCAGACTTAAAAAGGCAAGTAAAGTAAGTAAGTTTTCTTGGTAAATTAGGTAAATTATTTGCACAGACTTTTTTTAAAGGAAGCATCTTTCCTTTCTGTTTTCACATGCTGTCTTGTTTCTTACAGCAGAGAGTACGTTATTTGTCAAAAGGTTTAGAATCAAATTTAACTTACAAGTTGTTTCTCAAAAAATGTGTTAGTCTCTATGGATTGGTACTACAGACCTACGTATGAATAATGCAGTATTTAATTTGTGTTGCCAACTGCCACCCCACAATGGTGGCACCAGCTGTAATGGGCTTAAAGAGGTCAAAGGCTGCAAAGAAATATGTGCAAATGGTTGCCAAATAGTGTGGTTAATGAGTGATGTTGAAAAGTGATGATGAAAGTTTGTTTAGATTTAGAAGCTACTAGACAATTTAATAGGAAAAATAAAAATCCCTGAAGGTTATTTAAATATACAGTAACTTCAAAAATTCTGTGAACAGGAAATTGGAAGATTGGGAACATGTGCATGGAAAGTATCATACGTGCTTACGTATTACAGAGGCAAAGGTCCCTTCCAACCCTTATCTGTTGTAGTAGTACACAGGGGTTGGAAGGGACCTCTGAAGATCATCCAGTCCAACCCCCTGCTAGAGCAGGATCACCCAGAGATCACACAGGAACACGTCCAGACAGGTTTTGAATGTCTCCAGAGGAGACTCCACAACCTCTCTGAGCAGCCTGGTCCAGTGCTCTGGTACCCTCACAGGAAAGAAGTTTTTCCTTATGTTTAAGTTGAACCTTCTGTGTTCCAGTTTGTTACCATTGCCCCTTGTCCTGTCGCTGGGCACATCTACTAAGAGTCTGGCACCCACCCTTTAACTATTTATATACATTAATGAGATCTTCCTTGGTCTCCTCTAAGCTGAACAGACCTAGGCCTTTCCTCATATGGGAGATGCTTCAGTCCTCTCATCTTAGGGACTCTGAGCTGGACTCTCTCCAATAGTTCCTTGTCCTTGAACAGGAGACCAGAATTGGATGGAGTATTCTAGATGTGGCCTCACCAGGGCAGAGTAGAGGGGAAGGAGAACCTCCTTCGACCTACTGGCCACACTCTGCTTAATGCACCCCAGGATGCCATTGGCCTTCTTGGCCACACATTGGCTCGAGGTCAGCCTGCTGTCCACCAGGACTCCGGGTCCTTTCCCCTGAGCTGCTTTTCAGCAGGTCAGACCTTAGTTTTGCTGTCATTTAGGCATCTTTTTTTTCACTGCTTCTATGACAGTTTACAAAGCTGGAGGGACGCTTCGAGAAGCGAATGGCCAAATTGGATAATTCTGTTTTTTATTTCCTTCCCCTCCTCCCTAGAGTTCAACGGTGTGCCATGTTACAGTTTTCAGAGTTCCATGAGAAGCTGCTCACCACCCTTTGCAAGAAGACAGATGATGGTCTGACTACAGAACATGCTCAGAGTCTTGTACTAGACACGCTTTGTTGGCTGGCTGGAGTTTATTCAAATGGACCTGGCAGGTAAGAGAGAAACTGTTTAAACTAGTGTGGCTATTTCTCAGTATCAGCTCTGTTAATAAAATAAAGTCTCATATAATTCTCTCAAGTATGCAACTTTTTTTTGCAGCTCAAAGGAAGGAAATGACAGCTTGCTTTCTAAAACACGTAAATGTGTGTCTGATATAATACGTGTTTGCTTCTTTGAAGCTGGGCGGAGCATAGCTCACAAATGTGCACGATTTCTTGCACTGTGCATCAGGTCAGTGCTAATTATATTTATCTATTTTTAGATACTTATATATGTTTGGAGGTTTTGCTTGCAATCTGAATTGCATATACATGTTTATTATCATTTAACGTTGAGTTTTTATAAAGCAAGAAGATCTGATGAGAAAAAATGTGTTAGAGTATGACTGCAAAGAACAGCAGTCTTTCAACTTCATCTTCTGGAGGAGACTTTGTGTTTCTTAGTTCATTAAATGTTAAAGTGCCTGTGTTACTTTGCAGCAATGGCAGGTGTGACCCAAGTCAGCAGGGGTTTGGATCAGTTCTTCTAAAAGCTTTACTTGACAATATGCCTCTCTTGCCTGCTGCTGCAACAGGTGGTATGTATACAGTGTTTGTTGTCTTAAAAATACATGGTACATTTGTTGTTGGGCATGTTTTGTTGGGCTCTGTTGTGAAATCAGAATCAGATAATTGTTCAGCTAGTACAAACTGCTTTTTGGAGTGGTCTGGTCAGATGGTATCCAAGTATGAAGTATTCATTTGTAGATGATGGAGTTTTAAGCAAGTTAGCTTGTTTAACACAGAGTGCTAAGGCATTGATGTTGTTGAGAGAGCTTAAGGAATTTTGCAAGAATATTCAAAGCAACCATAGACTCTGTTGGCATAAGTGAGAGTCAGGATTGTCTGTTGTTTCTGAAAATTAGGGGGTTTATTCCAGGGAGCCTGACTACCTGAATGATGTCCAACTAAGCAATCCACTTCTGCTAGTTCTGCACCAAAGGAAATTTTTAACTAAATTAAGTCCCTTCCTCATCTACATTGCAGAGTAATGGTATGTTAGTACTTTGTTGAATCCTTTTGAATACCAGATACAATGGGAAGATGACTTTAGCACTCATATTTGGGGTGGCAAGACCTGCTTTGCGTTTTTCACAATATGTTGAATTGCATCAAGCTTGGCATCACCATGGGGTCTTGCAGGAAAATTTGTTGGCAGTCCAAAATGCTTGTTGTGCTACCACCCAGGTAGAAACACTTAACACGCTGCTATTGAGAGTGTGGAAGGAGGAGGAAGCTGAGGTTTCTGTTTCCATACAGAACCACTGCTCCCAGATATGATCTGTAAGGAAACACTGCCTCCGGCAAATACAGAACAAGGAGGCAGCTGCCAAAACCAGAGGATAAGAGGAGAGGAAGAGTTGAATCTAGAGTAAGACTTGGCTCTGAAGGGATGGGAACCCCTAGCCTAGCACCTTAGTGTATCATGAGCATTTTGATTATTATGCTGAATAGGAGCAGTGGGCAGGTTCTTGGGAACCTGTTTTTCTTCAGTTATGAATTAGTTGACAAGAGAATTTGAAGTACTTGTGGAAACTAATGATTACAGAATGATTCTAAATTGGAGTCTCTTCAAAAAAAAAAAGGGGGAGGGGGAGAATGCTTCCTATTCTGTATTCAGAAACCATTGGATACTTCATTTATCATTTCCATTGATTATGCTTCAAAATACACTTTCTGAGTGGAAAATTTGCATGAAGTTTCACCTGAATTTTTTTTAATACAGGATCTGTGTATTGGTATTTTGTATTGCTGAATTATGTAAAAGATGAAGATTTGGCAGGATGTAGTACAGCTTGTGCATCATTGCTAACTGCTGTGTCCCGACAGTTGCAGGATCGGCTAACACCTATGGAAGCATTACTTCAAACAAGGTACTAAGAAATACAGTTGTAAACTTAATAACATTCAAACTGTCTAATGCTGTCCTCTGGTGTTCTCAAAAAGGTTTGCTGTTGAAAAAAAAACCTGCATTTTATTGTGTATGTTTAAGCAAGAATTAATTTGATTAAAGGAAATTTCTGGTGGTTCCGTTTTTGTAGCGGTTTCCAAAGCTGTATTATGACGATGGTAACATGCTGCTGTTAGGCAGCTCTTTCAGTTGTGATTTGTGGGCAAGAGTTTTTTACTCCCAAGCAAGATCAAGGTAGAAGAGGTTTGGTAGAGGTTAGTTCAGAATCTTCAAGATGAAATTGAAAATTTAGTAAGCTAAGTTTGGAGGTGGGGTGGTCTTTGTTTATTTTTTGTTTACTTTTTTCTTTAGATGACTGTAATCCCAAAATACTTGATGATAAAAACTTGTTCTCATGTGTTTTACTTGGATCCTTATGTTTTCTACTACATTCCTCCTCTCAGTTGTTAGCAATTTCCCTTTTGTGTAATGTCATCTTCTGACTAGGTACAGTCTTAGTATTTTGCAGCAAAAAGCATTGAGCCCAGACAATGTAGAAGCATTTTAACATTCAGAGAAGTCTAGAACCTGTTCTACCTTGTTGCTGGTGTTATAGTATTCATGTAGATACTTATTTTTTTGTGACTACTTGACCAAAAAAGTCATTTAAACACTCCACCATACTGATTATATTATTTTCCCCCTGCAGTACTGCCAGAGTGGGAGTAATGATGTTTTATTCTGTTTAGACATTTAAAGTACTTATAAGTGTTGATTGATATCCCTAGCAGCATTTCCTTTTTTTCTTCTTACTTCAGCTGGAAGAGCAAACTGAAGTGGAATTTCTTTTGCTGTTTTGGGGAACTGTACTGTATTTTTACTGACTTCTGATTTACCATGTGCAGGCATGCATGGCTAATTCTGTAAGGCTTGTAGTTCTAGTTTCCATGTCTGAGTGTGGTTGTGTTGTGTTTCCAGGACAGTATTACATCTTCAAAACTAGTTAGTAACAAAGATTTACTTATTTAGCATCATAAGCTGTTTGAAAAGGTCACCTAATCAATTAAAGTCATGAAGTGCAAGTAAATGGTAATTTCTAATATGTGTCAGTTGTATGAAAGAATAGTTTGGAAAAAATAATTCCTGAGGATTAAATACTTGGCCTTTTTCTGTAAATAATTTAATATAAATTCTGACTGTTTGAATAGTGCTGTTTGTCTTAACCTGTTTGCAGATATGGATTATATAGTTCGCCTTTTGATCCAGTTCTGTTTGATTTGGAAATAAGTGGCTCTTCGTGTAAAAATGTATACAACAGCAGCATTGGAGTTCAGTCAGATGAAATTGATTTGTCTGATGTTCTATCAGGTATGTACATTAACAGGAATCTGTTGTGGAAGAATTGGTAATTCTCTCTGTTACACTATTTGCCTTTAGTGAAGATGTGGTTTTATACTTTCCATCTGTTTTATAGCTGTACATAATGAAGTTCAAGATACACTCTTGCTTTGTGAGATCTCTTACATTTCCTGTAGCCCTTAGGGCAAGAAAAAAAGCCTCTTTCTGGAATTTGTTTTTTTCTTATCCTGTAGAAGATCTAAGAAAAGGCTAGAGATTGAACTGAAAGGCTGCTATCATTCCCCAGGTCAGAGTCATCTAGGAAGCATCTGTCAGTTCTGTTGAGCAGCTTCATTGAGTTAATATTCATTTAGACTAACAACCATCTCATAGGCAGAGAAACCTACATGGCTTTTTCTGAAGTTGGGAAGCTGCCATACGGCACTCTTCTGCTTAAATATTACAGATCTAATGAGATACTTTTCCTGTTTCAGAGGCATTAAAATACCTTAAAAGCATATTTGTATCTATCCTCTCAGGTTAGTTCATATGTGAATCTTTAGGCTGTGGAATGTTAAGAATGAAACAGTTTTACCTGTTAGGAAATTCTTTTCATAGTAAGCATATTCCTCAGTTGTAGTGACTCCTTTCCTTTTCTTGCATGCTCTTGTCCATCTCCTTTCAATCCCTCCCTCCATACAACACTCTGAACTTGTTAGTATATTGAGTAATAGTCTAGTTCTTATGCTAACTTGATGTACGATCTTAATTGGTCTGTTTTCTTTCTCTTCCTTTACAGTAACCTCAATGTGTTTTTGCACGCTCACAGTGTAGAAAGAATTGAGCATCTATATATAATTTATTTCTGGAATTAAGTTTACACTATTCTTCTGCTGTCACATTTGATAGTTTGACTTAAGATAAGCTGTTAAGATTTGGCAGCGTTGCCCATCTTAAAATATACTTTCCTTTATATTGTGGCCATGGCAGCGTTAAGGTGTTTGCTTCACAGCGTGAAGTAATAAAATATGTCAATTATATTTAGTTGTCTCTTTTGATTCTTCATGACTTGAAATGTCACTATCAAGAAAGCATTAGCTGATTGTGCAGATATTTACTTCTTTTTCAGGAAATGGGAAAATAAGTAGCTGTGCAGCTGCTGAAGGTAGTTTTACTTCCCTTACTGGACTTCTGGAAGTTGAACCTCTGCACTTTACCTGTGTTTCAACAAGTGATGGAACTAGAATAGAAAGGGACGATGCAAGTACGTTTACTGGTATATACAATTTTTCTTTTTTTTCTACTTAGCATAGTTCCACAATACACTGTTTTTAATTGGACACAATGAGCATTGTCTGACAAGCAGATTGCCTGTAATTTTTATAAGTCTTGAAATCGTTTGGGTTTTTAAAAAATAGTTATAATATGTGTAGTTAAACTTCTTGGAGCTTAACGAACAAACTGGATTCCAAATTTATTCATTTGAATCAATTTGTTTCTATCAGAATATAACATGCAACCTTGCATCTTTATCTGGCAGCCTTATGTTGCAAAAGAATTCAGGGCATAAGGTGGCTCTCCTGTAATGAAAACTTTGTATGTATCATGAGTGTGTATAGTCTAGAAACCATATACTTTGTAATTCAAAATTCTTACTTGCAGCAAGAACTAGATAAGAGGAGATAATTCTCTTGCTTTTGTATTGCTCTTAACAATTATTAAGGAATTAAATTAAAGGTGTGTTTTAGAATTTCATTTCTACATACATGTTTTTGTTTTGTTTGTTTGTTTCATGCCAGTGAGTACGTTTGGGGTTACCCCAGCAGTTGGTGCCCTCTCTTCTGGAACAGTTGGGGAAGCCTCGACAGCACTGAGTTCAGCAGCCCAGGTAGCTTTGCAGTCTCTCTCTCATGCAATGGCCTCAGCCGAGCAACAGCTCCAGGTGCTGCAAGAGAAACAGCAGCAGCTTTTGAAGCTTCAGCAACAGGTTGGAGGCTATTTGGCTATTTTTTAATGCTGTCTCTAAACTTCAAAAGCTGAGAAAGTAGTCGCAGAGATGGTCACCTTTTTTTTTCCCCCCTCGTTTTTTCCCCGTAGCGTATGTGAGGAAGGAGCAGCCCTGCACTGAGGATCACTCTTATTAAGCACAATGCTGAGAGTGTGTCTCATGCTGCTTTGGTCTTTCAGACTTTTTTTTGTGTATTTTGAGGGTGGGTTGGGAGTTTGTAATCAGAATGTCTGAGATTGAAAAAGCCCACTGACAGGGAAAACACAACTGCCAACACAGGGAAGTACCAGTCATAAAGCCATTGTCAGTAGGAGGCATGGCTATGTTTACTGTACTTTGCTGTTGAGCTGTAGATTTTTTGTTGTTTGAGGTTTTTTTATTACTCCAATTAATTAGTTACTCATGTGCCTGAGCAAATGAAGTCAAATTGAATAGTTTCATTTTTCAGCTTATAATTGGACATGTAACATCCCTATATTGAAGGTGGCTTGGATTTATTTAATCTAGTTTTATAAAGAAAGTTGAACTTGTAGTTCAGTACTACTACTGTATTCACAAGCAGTATTATTTGCTAGATACGCTGCTTTCATTTTTCCCCCAGAAAGCTAAGCTGGAAGCAAAACTGCATCAGACATCAGCAGCGGCAGCGGCAGCAGCAGCAGCAGCAGGAGTTGCTCCTGTTCACAACTCTGTGCCTTCTAATCCAGTAGCAGCCCCAGGGTTCTTCATCCATCCTTCAGATGTCATTCCACCCACACCAAAAACAACTCCTCTATTCATGACTCCACCTTTGACTCCACCTAATGAGGCAGTTTCTGCTGTTATTAATGCAGAGCTCGCTCAGCTTTTCCCTGGTTCAGTCATTGATTCCCCAACAGTTAACCTTGCAGCACATAACAAAAATACAAGCAAGTCTAGAACGGTAATTATTTTTGTTTGTTTTCCTTATAGAAGCAAGATACTGTAAACGTTATCAGAATCTGTTTCATACTTGAGTGCTAGTAAATATCTGTGTATTTAGATGAGATCTGAAAACTATCTTGCTGTCATAAGTCTTCCTTTTCATATGGTCTAAATTTAGTGATAAAGTTGTTACAGTACCTCAAATGGTTTCTTTTAATTGGAGCTAGCTTAACTGTATAAAGAGTTATTAACCCTTTGAACTTTAGTATTTAATGTATTTTGATGGTTCATGCTGAAATCTAAATGTAGTGAGACATTGTCAATATTGTGGATCTTTAAATCATGAGAGGTTTTCTTAGTCTTTTGTAACTGACAGCTTATTATAAGTGCGTAGATTTTAATGACTTAATTTTACTGATGTTTTCCCGCTCCTCAGAATCCACTCGGATCCGGTCTTGCTCTTGCAATATCTCACGCTTCACATTTTCTTCAACCTCCACCTCATCAGTCAATTATTATAGAGCGAATGCACTCAGGTAAAAACAGAATTCCTAATAATAATTTTGACACACTTCTAATAAGTGGAATATTTTCCAGGGTTTTAAGTAAGTTGCTTAGCTGCAGTCTCATTTGGCTTTCTGAAGAGAAGATATTTCTCTATTTGCATTTGTGTTGTATTTGGAAGTTTGGGCCCAGCAGTCAGTGATGTTTATCAAGTTGAAAAATCCTGGGGGGCAGGGAGAATATGTTGGGTCTCTGGAAAGAGAATTCATTCTGAAAATGATGCATAATACTAATGAAAATAATGCATAAAAAGCATAACTTATATAAGGTTGAAGCTGAAATTTTATTTTCAAAGCTGTAGTGAGAGATTCTGAGATTGTGCAGCTATTCTTAACCTCAAATGTACACCTTTTGAACACTATATAAACAGTGGCTTTATTGTTTGAGATGTAACATCTCTCTGCTGCTTAGCACAGACTGGTGTTGTAGGCAGTGCTGTGTTTTTCCCCTAGGAGCAAGAAGATTTGTGACCTTAGACTTTGGAAGACCTATACTGCTGACGGACGTATTGATTCCCACTTGTGGAGATTTGGCTTCTTTGTCAATTGACATCTGGACTTTAGGAGAAGAAGTGGATGGAAGGCGACTGGTAGTAGCTACTGACATCAGCACACATTCACTTATCTTGCATGACTTGTTGCCACCCCCAGTTTGCAGGTTTATGAAGGTAAAGAGAGAAAGACTGCACACTTTATCTTAAACTCTTGATCTTTTTTAGTATGTGAAGTTTCTCTCAAGTTCTCTTCAGACCAAATTTTAATTTTTGGCTATAATTTTTTAATGAATTTTTTACTTGGTGTTTATTTTGACTGTTTTGATACAATTGTGTTACAGTATAGCTGCATTCTCTTTCAGATCACTGTTATTGGTCGATATGGTAGCACAAATGCCAGAGCAAAAATCCCATTAGGATTTTATTATGGCCATACCTATATCTTACCCTTTGAAAATGAGCTGAAACTAATGCATGATCCCCTCAGAGGAGAAGGTGAAGCTGCAAATCAGCCAGAAATTGACCAACATTTGGCAATGATGGTTGCGCTGCAAGAAGACATACAATGCAGGTTAGAAGGAAAAAATGTGTACTTTTAAGTTAAAACACTGGGATATCATAATGTTAGATTTTTTTTCTTCCAGTGATATTCTTCAGACCAACCAAAACTCTGCCTTTGTTGTAGAGTTGTTACATTGTATACCTTTATAGCACTAACAAAAATCATACTGTGTTTTATTTCAGTATCTGTTTTAATAGTGCATTGAAAGTGGAACAGAAGTCATATTCTGGCAGGATGACTGTCAAATGTATTACTGTTTGCTAATGTCTGTTTAATTTTGTGTTGGAATGTTTCCTTTAGGTACAATTTGGCCTGTCATCGGTTAGAAATCCTCCTGCAAAGTATTGACCTGCCACCACTCAATAGTGCTAACAATGCCCAGTACTTTTTACGAAAGCCAGACAAGGCTGTAGAAGAAGATAGCAGAGTATTTTCTGCTTACCAGGACTGCATTCAGCTACAGCTTCAACTCAACTTGGCTCACCATGCTGTTCAGAGGCTCAAAGTAGCTTTAGGCGCAAGCAGGAAGGCATTGAAGGAGCAATCTGATCCAAAGGAGTTGATTCAGATGTCATCCACAGAACAGTTACGCACCATCATTAGATACTTACTGGATACTTTGCTTAGTCTGCTTCATTCTTCCAATGGTTAGTATTTTTTGAAGTTTTGATATTATTGTCATGTTAGTAGAAACAGTTTGCAAATGTTCCTATTTCTTGATCTGTACTTTCCCACTATAAAGCTTTTAAACTATGTTCAGGCATGTTTTACTATAACTTTAGTAGACTTTAGAAATCGCTTCTGTGGAGCGGGGAGGGGGGAAGTCATAAAAGCAGTATCTCTGCTCAGTTCATGATTTCTAATTTGCAGTAAGGTTTTTTATTTCCTAAACTTGCCATTGAAAGATGTTTTTTGGAGAATCAAAATTGGGAAGTCTGAGCAGGAGTCATGTGTTCTGTTTGTTACAGGGCAGAACATTCTTCTGTTGATAAATATGTGTTTGTCTTGCAGTTTTCTGTTCCAGTTTGTTCTTAAGGATAAAGATGGTTTGAGTTTTAGCTTTGTGTAGGTTCCATGGGAGTATTTACACTGCTATGAAATCGATATACTTTTGAACAAATGACCTGGTCTTTATGGGTTGCCTCCAGAATTACCATCACCCCATATGTTCCTTCTTCCTTCCCCTCTGTGCCAATCAGTCTAATCATAATAGTTTTAAAAACTTCCTGCAAACTTTTTCCTCCTATGTTTCAAGCCACGGTGACCTTAACCATAGTTGCTTGTTCTCTTTTCTTAAAAGGGCACTCTGTTCCTGTGGTTCTGCAGAGTACTTTCCATGCTCAAGCTTGTGAAGAATTATTTAAACACCTGTGTATCAGTGGAACCCCAAAGATACGATTGCATACTGGCCTTCTGCTTGTTCAGCTCTGTGGAGGAGAAAGATGGTGGGGTCAGTTCCTCTCAAATGTACTGCAGGAATTATACAATTCAGAGCAACTTCTCATATTCCCACAAGACAGGTAAGGTTTAAATCTATATTGATACAGTACCTGTGGGTCACTTAAGTAATTCCATTGTTCATAACTTAACATTGGAATTGAAGGATACTTATCCACCTATTCAGTTGATTTAGGAAATAATCTCCAAAAACCACTGCAAATGATAAATGTCTGATTGCAGTTTATTTATTACACCTATTTGGTGCTTATACCACAATAAGTTGCTATTTTTCCTTACTTGGAGATCTTTGCAGACCTAGCAGAATTGCGCCCAGGTGTCAAAATTGCCTTCTCATTTATCGGGCTTAGATGCAACCTCATCATAGCGCTGCTTTTTTAGTGCCGTTGGAAGTAAGATTGAGACTGAGAAGCACACTATTAGCATTTAATACAGTGATTTCTCTCAGAGAAGAGCAAACAAGCGTAGAGTTGAGCATTGAATGTTAGATGCATTGATTATTTCAGACTATTGATTAAGGTCTTTGACATTCTAAATATTAGCCTTTTATTTTAATCAAAAATATTTGCTGAAGGCTTCCTGCCTTCTTTAGACAGCAATATTTATATTTTCATAATTACTTAAAATTAATTAGTTCAAGGAGTTTAAGAATGCATGGATTTAATTTCCTATCTCTGCTATTCAGTGTATTGTGTGTAATAGGAAATAAAACAGGTGAATCTTGTTTCAGATGTACAAAGTGGAATGCTCTACTGACCTCTTGAGGGTGAAAGAGAAAATGTTTACCCTAAAATACTGCATTATCCTTACAATAGAATGTGAAATCCAGTTCACTTGCTGGGCCACAGTATTGCTTTCTATAGTAATCTGCTTGTATCTCAGATGAAAGCCTAGGGGAATATTGTTCTATAAAGGATTTTTCAGAATGTTACTGGATCTGAAAAATAAATCAAATCTTAAATGTGTAAATTTTATTTTTAGGGTCTTCATGTTGCTTTCTTGCATTGGCCAAAGATCGCTTAGCAACAGTGGTGTCTTAGAAAGTTTACTTAATCTCCTGGATAACCTGCTGTCACCACTGCAACCTCATTTACCTGTGCACAGAAGAACTGAAGGTAGTCCTCTAATTTGGGAAACTATATTTTCATATTCATTATAAGCTAGAACATTGAGAGACTAGCTGATTATTTTGGCATGTTAAAAGAAGAAACTGCTTATTTAATGTATTTTCAAAACACAGTTGTCTTAAAATGAGCTGAAACTTCTTGTTCTTTAGGTGCTAGAAGAGATTCCTTTCCCTAAAACCTCCCCTCCACCTCTTGCCATTTAAATCTGAGCAAAATCAGTTCTGTTGCTTTTAATTCAGCTAGGAATCTTTAAAGTTTTAACAAAGTGGGAGGAACATCCAACATGTAGACAGCTCTAGTGAATGACTTTGGAATTTAGCATTTTAGAGAGAAGTGTCCCCTTTTGCTCATGATTCTTTCTAAGTTTCAAGAATTTGAGGTTGAAACACAGTTATGAAGACAAGTTCGTTAGGTGTATCTGCATGGTTTCTGCAAACTATATGGGTTAGGTTTTGGGGTTTTTTGTAATCACAAGGAATTCACATTTTTTTGACCCTAAAAAAAATACTGAAATTATGTTCTCCAAACTTGTTTTTCTTTGAGTGTGTTCTAAACTACCTGAAGTTTGAAGAAAGTGCCTGCTTTTGAAAACATCAAACTACACTACTTTACTTGTTTCATACATGTAGCAGAGCACCCTGGAAGATGTTGTTTAAAATCCTTAGCATTGTGAAGTTGATAACTGCCAGCTGAGACCTTGTCCTTGCTTCTTACTTTGTCTCCTGATGTAAACAAGCCTACAGCTGGCATCAGAAGCTGTCCTATTGCTTGCTATTGGTCCGCATATATACTTTTCTCTATCGAGGCCATATCCTGCAGTAGTCTAACTAGTTTGAGGCAAACCCAAGCTTACGTCTCCTCTACCTCTGTTTGCACTCTCCCCACAGCTGCCAATTCCTTTCATAGCTCTTGCCTTACTAGTTGTCCTCACGGAGGACTTTAGGAAGCAGAAGTAACTGATACTTCAGAGCTTTATTTGCTGGTCTTCCAGCTTCCTTCTTCCTGGACAGTACAGGTGAGTACTAGGGTATTACTGTGTGTGGTAGAAGCATCAGGTACAGCAGAAGAAATTCCTCGTTGAGAACTATCACACATAACCAAGGGTGAAAGGGGTAAATCTTACTGGGGAAAAAGTCAGGGGAAGAAAAAGGACAATCAGAGCACGAGGTGAGTGTTGTAGATAGAAGTTAATAAACTTTGAGGCAGAGGGTGGGGAAAAGGAGTAAGCTAAGAACACTTGAAGAGAGAGAGGGGAAACTGAAAATACGGATTTTTTTTTTTTTAAGAGATGAAAGGAAAAGAAATACTTTAGTATGTAAAGTTATGTACTTCACTTTGCAGCGGGCTCCTTTCTTTTTATTCTGGCAACCAAAAAAAGTGTATTGTCGTTTCCAGTGCTACTCACTTCTATTCCTGCAATTCAGTTTGCAGTTCTTGTTCGGGTCCTGTTATGGGGAAGCCTCCTGTTCCTCTGCCTGCTTGGGCTGGGCTGCTTTTCTGCCAGTGGACAGAAAACTGGAGTTAATAGTCAGGGTCTGCGTCCCATTGCTTGGACTGTCAGCAGCTACCTGTGACTTTGCACAAGTCGTTTCTGTGCCTTAGTTTTCTTGTTTGATCTGGAATTAATAATTCTTCGAGTTAGTTAAACCTTTGAGATCAGTGCATGAAAAGTGTAGTGTAGTCAAATGTGTCTCCGCACAGTGCGCACATATGAAAATTTGCGTGTAATGTCTAGTACTAATAACTTTGCCATATTAATATTATGTAAAAGTATGCCATTTGCATGATGACTGATTAAGTGGTCATTAATTGTAGGTTTCTGGACTCATGAGTTCACTTTAGAACTGTTTATTTAGATTTGCTCATGCACACAAAGATTTTTCTTGCATGATATACAAGAAACAGGGTATTTTTTCTCTTCTGTCTGTACAAAAATATTGCATTTGGTTACTGAAATAGGCAGTAGCCAGTCATTAGTGCTGCCAGCAGGGTTCATCTAGTTTGAACTCAGTCTTGGCATTTTTTTGCATCTTATTCCAATGTCTATGTGAAAATATACTTAAAGGAGTAAAAATTAAGGTATTTGGGTGCACTGTTATAACTGTCTTGTTGGAGCCCTGGTTAATGGAGGAATTTCACGCTATGGAATTTGAGACTTCAATGTGAGCAGCTGTCATTCTGCATTTGATATTTAGGAAATTTAGATGCACAGGTTTTGATTTTTTAAAATTCTGCTTAGCTTTTAGCTTCAACAGTAGAGGTGAAGCTTTTGACTTCTGGCTTCATTAGACTAGAACTGTGACACTTTCTCTTGCACCTGATTTCTACACTGAATGTTTGATTTCTTCCCTCATTTATGAGTCCTCAGACTGTTACCCTCACTCTAAAAAAAAAAAAAAAAGGGACCCTCATTTAAAAATAAAAAAAAAGGAGGGGAGCAGAATCTGTGACATAGTGAAATGTGTGCCATCTAATGCTTCTTATAATTTCTTTAAAACTAGTTTGTTATGGCTTCAAAACTTAATAAGGCAATAAATCTATTTATTTTGAAGGAGTTTTAGACATTCCCATGATCAGCTGGGTTGTAATGCTGGTGTCCAGACTACTAGATTATGTAGCTACAGTTGAAGATGAAGCAGCCACAGCCAAGAAACCTCTGAATGGAAAAGAGAGGGAACGATTTTTAACAGGTATGTAACACTTACTATCAAAACTTGTTTCTATGGGTATTGGTCTTGGAGCTGTTCAAATACTTAGAATATATTTTCAAAATACCAAAATTTCAAAAAACCAAGATTTTAGGAACAGATGTTGTGATCATTTGCACTGTTTTCTGCTTTATGTTCCCTTCTCCATAGAAATATGACCCCTTTCTTTTTTTTAAGTAAAAAAATACAGGATTGATTTTACTTTCTTAAATGTCAGTATATTATTCCGGGACCTGGCAATTGAGAATATCCCACGTTGAGGCCATTTGTATTGTGAGAAAGGGCAGCAGTATGGCTTCATAACTGCTTCGGTAATTGCCATGGTATTTGTATCCAGTATTTTTAACTGCATTTTTTGGTTGTTGTTGTTGTTGTTGTTGTTGTTGTTGTTGTTGTTGTTGTTGTTGTTGTTATTATTCTTTAAGTGGATTAGCTGTGGAGTTTTTCGAACATAGTTTATGGTTTTTTGTGTTATGGAAGCTGTTCAGGTAATTTAGTTAGGACAGTCTTGCTTACCTCCTTCATATGTTTTAAAAATAATGAAAACAAGATGGTACCACTGCATTTTAAAATTACTCAGAAATATTACCATCAGTGCTGATAGTTGCATAATACTAAAAGCGATTTTGCTTGTTTCTTTAGCATTTAGTGTATGGAGATGCTAGCTATTGCTGCAACATAAATGCTTTTCTCTGGAGTTAAGTGAGTTTCAATAAGATGGATTAATATCTCCCTTTTTTTTTTCCTGTTTCCACTAGGAAACCAGTGGAGTTTCATAAATAATAGCCTTCACACTCAGAGTCTGACCAGATCTACTAAAGGCAACAGTAGCCTAGATAGACTGTATTCCCGAAAGATCAGAAAACAGCTTGTGCATCATAAACAGGTGACTTCCAGCACGGTAGTGGCTATTTTCACAAAAGTATATCTCATTTATAGTATTTCTCATTCCTTGAAAGAAAAGCTTTGGCCTTGGGACTCATTCAGCCTTGCTTTTGCATAGACCTGGTTCTGTAGCTAAAGGCTGCCTGACTTCTTTGACATTTGTCTCAAACCATGGAGCATGAGATCTGCTCTAAGAACAGATGTTGGAGTGTACTCGTGTACTCTGTAGCCCATATTAGACAATAAATATAATTTACTCTCTAGATATATCTGGGTACGCCTGAATGCAAGCAGCTGAGCTGTGATTTTAAAGTTTGTAATTCTTAAGAAAAAAACCTTTCATTTCTAAATGCAACCTTGCTGGTTTTATGACCCTGGGCATTTATGCCTTGGGCTCCTTTAAAAATGCTATTTCTTCTTAAACTTGATCTGTTCTGGGTCTAGTAGTAACCCCTTATGGTGTCTTAGTTAAAGTTGCATAAAAACTGTATTTTAAGAGCTGAAGTTACAGCTTGAACTGAAGATTACTATCATATGAACATACTGATCCTTTTAACATCTTATTGCTTAAATTTTCATTTTTTCCTATTAACATTTTCTTTTAGCAACTTAACTTATTAAAAGCAAAGCAGAAAGCTTTGGTGGAACAGATGGAGAAAGAGAAAATACAAAGCAACAAAGGATCATCATACAAACTTTTAGTAGAACAGGCAAAACTAAAGCAGGCTACTTCAAAGGTATGATGTTCTGAAACTGTAACTGACTTCTTGTCCTTTGTGTGAGAAGACCTGTTCATGCAAAGTCATTTTTTTCCTACGTTGACCTTATTTTAAAAAGTTATTTCATCACGACTGCTATCAAGTATATTCTGATGCTGAAAACAGCAGCCATCTGGAAATTTCTTGTACTGTGAAATAAATCCTTTATCTTTCTACAGGGGTTTTCTAGGCTAGTCATGGCTAAAATCACTAATAATCTTGTAGCTTTGGGAATGCCAGTCATATCTTTAAACTTTGGATGACCTATACCAGTAGAAATGTAAAGTTGTATTTTATACGTCTAACTTTTCTGCGTAATAAGCTTTTGGATGCTCTCCTGGTGGAGTAATCAGGAAATTATCATGCTGGTGACCATCTCCCGGAATTAATAGGTACAACTTTTGAGAATGTTTTCTGAGCTTTTTCAGAAGCTTTTTAGCTTCCTAAAAGCACTTGTCACATACGTTGTGGCATCTTGCAGTAAGGTGCAGATACTGAGAGTGGATGTGGCAGTTGAAGTATTATTTTGATTATGAGATGAGGTGCTGAAATCTGGGGTTTTTTAGAGACATCAGCATGGACTTTACAGGCAACACAGAAAAATGTGTATGTCTTTTTAACTGCCAAACTTGGGTATCTCTTTAAATTTATACTCTCTAGTTCCAGAAGTACTAATGTCTGTTAGGATAACTGAAAGTAGGCCTGTGGAATGACATTATATAATGTTGGACCATAAAGGCAATCTAAAGGGAAATCTTACAACCACTTCCAGTAATCATGGGGGAAAGAAAAAAAAAACAAAATTTGAAACACCAGTTTAAAAATAAAGCCCTAAGTTTTCACTAACTCTGCTTGTCATGAGCTGTTCTTTCCTGCACTGTCTTCAGCTTTATTCCAGCAGGTTATATCAGGGGGGCTGCTCTGCTGGTGGCCCCCTTGAGACATCCTGAAATGAGTCGCTGGCTGAAATCTGCTGCCCAGCTATTTAAGTTTCCCATTATGGCAGGCACGTTGCATCAAAAAAGCATGTTGAACTAAAGAGTTTTCCCCTTGCGGTATCTTAACATCTGGTTATGATATTACTGTACACTTGACAGTTGCATTTCATGCTGTTTTTACTACTTTGCCTACTAATCACTTTCAGTTACGACAAGCTGTGAGCAAATAAAACATTTATTGCATTTAGGAGAAAGCTGAAACCTTTCTGTTAGTTAATAGTTCTTTCTCTGGTCTACTTCAGTAGCTACTACTTAAGTGAGATTACAAGAGACATGTGTTACCTTGTGGTACAACGAACTGAGCTGCTAAATGTGTGCCCTTGGTAGATGGGAGGATTCATAAAAGCACCTTCTTTCCTCCATTGCATTTGTAGACCCTCCGTCAAAAGGGTTGTAGTTTAGAGTCATGATCAAGTATCAAACTCGTTCAATTTGTAGTGGCTAATGCTCACTTTGTACCCTGTAAGTGTTGAGACAGTTACATTATTGATGAATTGTCAGATGTGAAGAACTGAGAAGTCAGCATTCTTGCAAGGTTAAATTTTCATACTAGCTATTTTAATACGCAGTTTGCTTCATGGTAACCGTAGCTTTATATACAGGTGTGGAAATACAAAAGACACTTCTAAAATACGTATTCTCGATATGTTTTATGGCAGCAGTATGGACTTAATTGGCACTTGGCAGAACTGGATAATTTGGTTATGAGTCTCTCACCTGAGATGACATGGTGCCAAAACAGATTTCTGCCAATGAGGCCTTAATTCCATTCCGGATTCTCTCATATTTTTAGACTTTTTTTTTTTCTTTTCCACTTTATAATTAATGTTATTGCTGCCTCAGATTTTCATGGTGAAAAGATTTAGAGGTTAGTTTTAAAATGTAACTGCTGTTTCAAATTTAATTTCTGCAGCACTTCAAGGACTTAATACGCTTACGCCGGACTGCAGAATGGCCTCGTTCTACTTTGGATACAGAAGTATCAACAACCAAGGAAACTCCAGAAATTGAACCACTTCCTTTTACACTGGCACATGAACGTTGTATTTCTGTAGTGCAGAAGCTGGCACTGTTTCTCCTGTCCATGGACTTTACTTGTCATGCAGATTTACTTCTATTTGTTTGTAAGGTAAAAATGATAATGGAGTATCACTCTGTAGTTGCAATTAAATTCACTTTCTGTTACTGCTTTTTTGATGGCTTGATGGTAAAAACTGGTGGCTTTATTTAGAAGTTCTAGTCATTTCTGGTGAGGTAGTTTTTGTGATATGCCACCTTTTCTGTAACGTATGATATGGTAGCTTCAAAATTGTGTAGAAAAGGTAACTTTAAAAATATTTTCATATAATTACACTTGTAAAGTTCTAAAATTTAATACACTGATTTACATGTGAGCAAAATCTAATAATAGTAGAAATAAAACTTATCGCACATTTCTATAGTGTTAAATATGAAAAAGCATATATTTCTTTATTTATAGGTTCTTGCTAGAATTGCAAATGCTACAAGACCAACAATTCATTTATGTGAGATTGTTAATGAGACTCAGCTGGAAAGATTATTACTGCTTCTCGTTGGAACTGACTTTAACAGAGGAGACATCTCTTGGGGAGGAGCATGGGCTCAGTATTCTCTGACTTGTATGCTGCAGGATATTCTAGCAGGTTTGTTTTAAGATCATATTTTTCAAACTGCACATTACACTTGAAACAGTCTTCTTTTAATGTTCAAGGGTTTTTTATTACTATGTTAGAATCCAGTGACACTATTAAGTTAATGGAAAAATAAAAGAGATTAGTGTGTAAAAACAGAAAAAGCAATTTAAAATTGCAATTACAGTCAATCCTCAATTGGTGACTTGTGCTTTGAAAAGTTAATATGTATATGACCCTGATTATTTGAAAATTATTCAGAACTCCTCCCCTTGAGGAAGTAGCCTTTAAAGAATACTGAGTTAGATGAAGAAAATGAGATAGTTGGCCTAGACGCTGGGATGTTAATTTGTAGCTGGAATAAATTTTGAAATGGAGTTGTCTGCTTAATCTAATACACAGGAGAGTTGTTGGCACCTATAGCAGCTGAAGCAATGGAAGAAAGTGCTTTGGGAGAAGATGCTGGAGCGTCGGCTGGGGATTCTGATGACTCTCTCCAGCAGTCCACAGTTCAGTTGGTGGAAACAATTGATGAGCCTTTGACACACGACATCACAGGTAGATTATTTCATAATCTTGACGTATGTATGTATATGGAAAAAAAGTATAAAAACCTTTTGCTTTTACTCATCTGTCAAAATATCAGTAAAGGATTTTTGGTGAATGAGTAATTCTTCAACTTAGTTTTACATCTGATCAGTAAAAAATGGTTATTTTTCAAATGATTTTTAAAAGGCGTCTTGATTGCAGTCATTAACTTTTTCCACTAAGAGCTATAGTATTAAATCCTTAAAATTATCCACTAAGTGTATGATAGAGCCATGTTTTATAATTTGTACTTTGTAGTGTTAATAATCTTTTAATCATTCAAAGGTGCTCCACCTCTGTCATCTTTGGAAAAAGATAAGGACATTGAACTTGAATTACTACAAGACCTGATGGAAGTTGATATTGATCCTTTAGATATTGATTTGGAAAAAGATCCCCTTGCAGCTAAAGTCTTCAAGGTATGACACACCTGCATTTTCAGGATAAGCTTTAAATGTGAAATAGTAAAATCTTTTCTATCTTATCCTTCTTTATTAGTGGTATTTGATGTCTTAGACCTTTATCTTTTTATAAAGGTTTAATGTAGAACGGCAGAAAAGAATGTAAAGATTGTGGTCACATCTAAGATGTTTTCATATCCCAGTTGACCACAAAATATTTTGCTTTTGCAAGAAGATATCTGTATAAACAAGAGGTTCTCAGTTTACTCATACTTTAACATATGTTAAAGACAACAAAAGAATAATATAAAGGAAAACTAAGATCTAGCGTTGTTCTTTTTTATTAAGAATGCAGTGCCATTTGCTCCTGCGATTGATCTTAAGAGTTAATACTGCTAGTATTGTGTTTACAAAATTCAGCAGTAGCCAGTATTCAAACCAGCTTCAGACTATGAAGAGAAGCAACTGACTTAAAAACTTACTCTACTGTGGAACAATTATTAAATGCTTTCGTACTTATAATGGAAGTTAAACATATCGGGGTAGTAAAATTACATTTAGATGTCTTGGTATATATTCAAGCTGTATTAAAGATCAAAAATATTTGAGTTGTAAGTAAACACAACTGTTCATAATAATAGAATATTCAGTCTCTTTTCTCTGTCCGTAAGGATGACACTTTTCTTTGAAGTTTTCCCACTCCTCTTGCTATTGACTTAAGCCTTCAGCCTGATTCGAATTAACATTAATTCTCTTTTTTACCACTTTTGAGACTAAACTAAATTTTCTTTTTTTTCTGTATTTCCTCATATGTCCTTCCACTGATTACCTGTCATGTAAAGTTGTTTGCTTTTTTTAAATCTCAGCGTACGAAAATATTCCACTTACTGCTTAATTTTTGTGTTACTGATGTTTCCCTCCTCCTTTATTCTACTATAATTTCATTTGGCAGTACTCCTTATTACACTTCGTTGAAGGTATCTTCATGATCCTATTGCCTGATTGGATGTCCTTTAAACAACAGCCAGGAAACCACTCATTCCTAATCCTTTTTAAGATTTGCTTCTGTTTCTGTAAAATGACAGTTGATACTGGATCTTGCTATTAAAATGACAGGGATACACAGATTGCCTTCATTCAATCTTATGTTACTGCATTTTTTTTCTTGTAATCCATATGGTTTCTAAGTGGCTTCAGTTATGATACTTGAGTAGAAATTATTCAACGCTTTCTTTTGCAAAGCCCAGTACAAGTAATCCTGGAGCCTCACTGAGGCTTCAAGGTGCTTTAATAGTACAGTTGATAATACAGTATTCTGTTTCGATAAATACCTTCTCAAAATATCTGTGTGATACTGCAGTTCCAAATTTTTAGTATGGTACAAATGTGTGAATTAAAACAGATTATAACACTTTTTCAAATTGGTTTCTTGAATCTTTGAGACAGTTGAATTATTAGAGTCAATAAGGATTCAGTAGCTCATACTGCAATAAAAACTGAAGCAAATATTTCTAAAGCTATTGGGTCCTATCTTCTGGTTTTAATTTTTTTGGTTTCTTGTCATTTCAGTGCTTGTTGGTGGTCATTAAAAATTTTATCTTTGGATTTGGGGACTCTAAAGGGTTGATGGTTTGTGTTTTTTCTTGTTTTGTTTGTTTTTTAAGCCTATAAGCAGCACCTGGTATGACTACTGGGGTGCCGATTATGGCACCTACAATTACAATCCTTACATCGGAGGTGTTGGAATTACAGTTGCAAAACCACCGGTAACTACAGAGAAAAATGGATCTCAAACTGTGAGCGTATCAGTCTCTCAAGGTAAGCAATGAAATAAAGTCCTATTCAGGGTCCTTTTTCTATGACACTGTATTTGACACGATGCATATCAAAAGTCTCTACGTGCATTAGATGGGAAGAATTAAATTTTCTATATGCTACAGTTTTTCTGTGGTAACTGAGATAATATTATGTGAAGTTTGTATTTAAAACAGCCTAACATAGCAGAAAATCTTATTTTCTAACATTTTTTAACACATGCTTATAGGCAGTTTTAAATCATCCCTGTTTTCTCAGAAAATTTAGGAAACTCTCTTCTAGTTGGCTTATATTTTGGATAGTTGGCTCTAACCTAAGGAATGAGGTGGCACACTTTAGTTTGGAGGAGTACTACTGAACTGGAGTGGTAGATCTTTACCCTGCCGCACAGCAGGGAAACAGCTTTTTTGGTTCTTGTTTGAGAGCTTATTACCTTAGGAAAAACAGGCTACATGAGTGATACTAAAGCAATTGTGAAAAGAAATATGCGTGTGTTTAACAGAAATTTAGTATTTCACTAATTACATATTTCACGTCTGTAAGGATCTTACGTTCAGTTCAGAGTATAGGTTTCCACATTCTGCTTCTGTCATATGTGAAAGTGAATCTTCTGTTAGTGACACAGATTTTTTTTCCACTTTAATGTGGACTGTATATCTCTATCGCTTGCACAGGAAGTTAGAGTATCTAATTATATATGTCTTTGATATAATTCTGTTTTACTGTGTTTGTTGACTTGTTTAGCTTTAGATGCACGTCTAGAAGTTGGACTTGAACAGCAGGCTGAGCTGATGCTGAAAATGATGTCCACCTTGGAGGCTGATTCCATTCTACAAGCGTTAACAAATACATCTCCTACATGTAACTACATGTCAAATCATTCTCTTTACATAATGATCACGATGCTTTGAAATCTGTTCTATTTTTTTCTGCAATCACTTAGCTTAGAAAAAGTTATATTTGATTTGAATTTTCTTTTTAGGCTGAGCTTTAGAGATTTCTTTATTTAGACTTTTGAATCATTTGTAAACATATATTTAAGATATTTTTGTGAAGTTCGTTAGATATGCAGGTTTCCTCTTACAGTGCATATAATAGTACAATGGAGGAATTGTTTTCATTTTCCAATGTAGGTGAAAGTGAATGTTAAGCTTTCTGTTTTTGTGGAGCTTCAGTCTTGCATTCAGTGTGAAATTTCAGCTGTTTGAAGGCTGTTGTGCACTGGACAGTTTCATATGTTCAGTGATAAAAGTGAAAATATTTGAATATAGTTTTGAACTCACCTGTTCAATAAGCCTTATGATATAAAAACACTCATGATGCTGATTTATTTTTGAATGTATTTTCAGTGAGTTGCACTTCCCATCTTGTTAAGCTTTGCTTCTTTGTAGCTCCCTGGGTACTGTAGTATGCATGCGGTCATCAGTTGAATATCTGAGGATGAAGTAGGTTTAGTGACATCCTCTGGCTTGATTTTTCTCAAAGTTTATTAGTAACTACAGTACTTTTACCATAGTGCATGAAAGAGATGTTCCAGTTGTTTGTCTTACCAGGACACTCCTATAATATGTTTTTGGCAAGAACTGTGAAAATGTATTTCTGTGGTCTCACTTTCCAAATGTGTTTTTTGGGAAGATGGAGATGTCTGACATTCAAGTATGCTTTTCACAGTATGATAGTCAATAGTCCAACTCAACTGAGCACTGAAGATGTTCTTGTAAATTGTAAAATAAATATCTTTCCCTTAAGTATAAAATGCAAGGAAATAAGTATGAAATTACTTTTAGCAACTTCTACAAAACAGTTCATGGGCGCTTGTACTTTGTTTTGTTTTCTAGTAACCCAGTCTCCTAGTGGAACAGATGATTCATTGCTAAGAGGATTACATGCTGCTAACCAAAATGCCCAGCTGATTGTACAGTTGTCATCTATACCTATGCTGAGCACGTGCTTCAACAAACTCTTTTCCATGCTACAAGTCCACCATGTTCAGGTATAGAATTAGGAACTTTGAAATGTTTTGATAATATTTCTCTCTAAATTTGAAAGTTGTTTTCCTATATTTCTTACTACTTAGGTTGCAAGCAACCTGTTATGTGCTTTATTGCTTATGAAGTTGTCATAGACAACAGTACCAATCACGTAATAGAGAAGCTGCTGAAAGTTTTTATTAAATAGGACATTTCTTGTTACAGTGAAAATGTGGGTATACGTTTTCATATTTAAAAACAAGTTACTAAGTCCGCTGAAAGATGATCGTTAGCTTGTTAGTGAAGAGTACTGCTAAGTGTGCAGTCTCCATCTTTGGAGGTTTTCAAAACTCCTGGATAAACCCCCGAGCAACCTTGCCTGACATCTTAGTTGGACCTTCTTTGAACAGAAGGTTGGACTGGATAACCTCCAGAGGTCCCTTCCAACCTGAATTATCCAGCTTTGAAAATTATGTTTATCAGAACCTTTAAATCCAGTAAAGGAGTGTGTGTGTGTGTGTGTGTTACCAGTGAAACAGTAGCACCTGAGAATATAGATGAGACACTTAAAACAGAACTTTTTATGCTCTGGAGTTCTGGAAAAAACACTTGTTCGGTCTGATAATGTTTTGTTGGTTTTTTTTTCCCTTTTTTCAGCTTGAATCCCTTTTACAGTTATGGCTCACATTAAGCCTAAATTCCAGCTTCTCTGGAAGTAAAGATAGTGGCGCTGATATTTTCCTTTATAACGCTAACAGAATACCTGTCATTTCCTTGAACCAAGGTAAAATACATTAAATATGGGAAATAAATTTTCAAGAAGTGTAAAATAAGATTTTTTTAAGTACTCCATTTTTGCTAATAAACAAAAAGTATTAAAATAAGTATTCTTGATAAGATTGATGTTGGGATAATTTCTGTGTTCTTACTAAAGAGCTCTTGGGCTCATTATCTTCTTAAAATGAAAAATGTGTAGCTAGTGTGTAATTGAGAGATGATTCCTTGAATTTGCATGATCTCCTCAGAAGTTAAGTTGTAAAATTTGTGGTTCTTAGTTAATCATTAATCCCAAGAGAACTTTTAAAAAGACACTTGTTAGTCTAAGGTGAACTGTGCACCGATGTGTAATTCTCTGACTAATTTCTTCTCCTTGTGTACCATCCTGTGATATCTTTATTATGAAAGGAGTGGTGTGGGAGGAAGCTCTAATATGTTTTAGGCATCAATCTACTAATATAGTATGTGTCAATTTTATATATATATTTCTAGAAAGTTATTTCTAAAGTTTAAAAAATCTGTGGTACGTTGTTGTGATAGTCCTAAACATAAATGCTTGCTATAATGAACCTATTATGCTGACTTTCATGAGAGCATTTTGAAACCAGAAATATCAGAGGCTTCTTCTCCTAATTTCCTGGAACAATAGTTGTCAAAACAAAGTAAATACAACAGTAATAATAATTATAATATTAATAACAATAAATATAGAACCTTGCAGTAAAAAAGACATTTCTAGTAATACCCAGAAGATTAAAGCTTGGAAAAACATCTTTTTCTTGACAGCTTCGGTAACTAGCTTCCTGTCAGTTCTGGCATGGTATCCTAATACTTTACTCCGGACGTGGTGCCTTGTGCTTCATAGCCTAACTCTCATGACAAATATGCAGCTTAATGGTAAGTTGTGCATGGTTTGGGTTTGATTTGTTTGTTGTTTGGTTTTTTTATGTTGCCTGTTTTGGTGATGTGCAGATGAGTGTTGATTCCCATCCAAAATACTACCAGAACTTTCCCTTTATCATTTTATCACTGTTTTTCTAAACACTTGGATCTCAAAAGCCTTCTCAGAGAACCTCCTTAAGTTTGCTTTATTTAGTTGAAAGTCATTATTGCCAGCTGATACACATGTTCACATGGAGCCATTCTGTTTTCCCCAGTCTTATATTTAAAAAGAGGAAAGGGGAAATGGAAAGGAAAAAGGACAGTACTTTTTCATATCCTGCCATCAATTCTAGATAGCATTTTACCTATTTGTATTTTACTGGTAGTCTCTTTGTACCCACTTCTGACTACTGTACTCTGAAGTTTACCTTTTCAGTCACCATTTATTTGAGATCAGTGAATTAGAACATCTTGTCATGAGAAATGAGGTGGTTCTAGGTATCTCATTCCGATATTATTTTCAAAGCTGTTTCTTGTTTCTCCAAAAACTCAAATCTTTCAAGTAGTAACCAAAGCTTCTTAGTTGAGGTTTTTTCCCCACTTGAGTGTCATGCAGATTCTTTTGGAGAACTGTCCTGTGTTGGGATTTCATCAGCAACCACTGTCTAGGACAGGTCAGTTCATGGTCAGGAAAATATTACTTCGTTATGCTATTATGCGCAGATAAATGCCTTCAGAATGAGAGCTCAAGCTGTGTAAGTTTTGTACTCCAGGAGCTCATACCCGAGGAGTGCGAGAAACTTTTCAGGGATAAACCCAACACTCCCAGCCGTTTCTTTTCAGAACAATGACCTTAATTTGTTACAAGATCCAGGGACAAATTTTGCAATGATGGTGTTTAAAAACAGTATTTGATGGGTGACATCTAGAACCATTTGATGCCATGTCAAGGAAGGTGGGTAGAAGCAAATCTACAGTGACACCTGGCTAAGAACAATTTCTCAGAGCTACAGATGCTCTACAGTAAACAGCTGTCATCTGTCAAATCGTTCTCATAGTGCATTTGCTCATCTGTTACTTCAGCAAGAACTATTTGTGCTCTCCTCACATGCCCTTTTGCTTATCTGTTATTGTTGTCACCAGAAATACTGTTTTGGGTGCAGTGTTTTGAGCATAAACACTACCTGACAGATCAGATAATGTCGATGCATCATGAAATCTGAGTTAGGCTGTCAAGCAAAACATGTCAGACTACAAATATAACACAGAAACAAAAAGTGGGGTTTTATATTGTGGTTATATGTTCAGCTGTGAAATAGAAACTATAAAGTAACATAGGAAATAATGAAGATGTATTTATTCAGTTATGGCATCGACCCTATCGTGAAACAGTAGAAAAACTGGAGTCTTCTAATCCTGAAAGAAATGAGTTGAGGTTTAGCATGTGGACTTGGCTACTGCTTGTCAGGAGGAGTTGGGCTGGGACTGTCAGTTCTGGAGAAGTTCTGATGTAACATCTGCTTGTGGTAAGATGTCTTAACAAATAGCCAGATTTAATGAAGTAGTTACAGTACAGACCTCACAAGTGAAGGTGAACACAGGAAAAAGCTGAAGCTTTTTAAAATGACATTATCTTCAAAGAAACACCAAGTGAACAAATTAAGTGGGATGAAATTACACCTTAAATGTGCCCTGTTCAGAAAAATGCATGCATACACATTCGAAAAGCTGCAGTTTCAATGGAAAAGATTTTCGTTTTGTTTTTTCCAACCCAAACCATGCTATGGTCCTCTGAAGGTACCATTCAGGAATGCAGGGAAGCACAAATGTATGTCCCCTTTTCAAATAAATAGGTAAAGATTTTAGGTGCTTTGTACACTTATTTAAAATTAATTTGGATATTCAGTACTTTTGGACAAACTGAAGTGACATCTAGCTCAAAACTGAAGTCATATGCAAAGTTCGAATGATGCAGTTATGTTGAAATAATGGAAAGTTACAGAAAAGTGAAAACAATAACCAAATTCATGTTAACTTCTCATTTTGGTTTAGTTATGTCAACTGCAGTTAGATGTTATTTAGTCATAGTGATTTGTCTTAAATTTCAAAGTAGTTTATAAGTGGAGCTTATTTCAGTAATGTAACAGGTCTAAGTATGCATGCAACAGCTATGAGCGTAGCAAGATAGTGTTCTTAGTGACCTGAGTGTCCGTTTCCTTTTGACTTTGTATCATGATATATTCAGAGACTCTCCCAAAAAACAACCAACCAACTCCCCTCTCCCCCACCCCCCTGCAAAGACAACCTACAGACTTAAAGGGAAAATTGATGTATTGTATGCTTTACTTAAGGAAATGTTACGGGGGGCAGATTCAGCAAGGGAAAATAAACTTGGTCAGTTCACTGAGGCTGGTGTTTCCAAGGTACATCCTGCAATGGAAAGCTGCTCTTTTGGTCTGAAATGTCCAGTTTTTCGTTCAGAGAACCTGTGAAATTGTGTGCTTATTCTTTACAGACTTGTGCCCCAGCCAGACATGACCTGGCCTTTTCATCTTTTGCACTATCAAATGTAAACTAGAGCAGGTCTATTGTCTGTGATACCATGGGATTGGAAAACTGCGGATGCTTTCTTGCATTTATTCAGCTTCAGCTATTGCTGTACCATTGGTCATAGCCATACAGGCTTGTTGCGCTGCTGATAAATCAATGCAAAATGGTTTGTATAGCTGTACAAGAAATACTTTCAGCATTACTTTTCTGTATTCATCTAAAGCAAGAAATCTGTTTATAGTTTGAGAATAAAATGGCATTTGATAAGGGGAAACCTTACTGTGAATTATCTTCTTCCATCCCCCCATAAGGATTTCTTCACATAGCAAGTGTCTTTCCAATGCTGTTTTATTTCATTGCTCTGAAAGCTTTTCAACTGCAATGGAAGCAGTCAGGGTTTAATTCTGTGCTTGATGGAGATGTTTCCCTCTTGGTTGGGATCTTTAGTTGAACTTCTGTTGGTGTGAGGAAAGTATTGTGAATGATGAGGACTCTGATAAACAGAATGGCTAGAAAGTAGTTCAAGATTTGGTTGTCTTAAAAGCCTGCCTAATAAAGAATCTTATCTTGGGATGCAAAGCGTTGTACCACAGCATCATCTCCTCTTGAGTTAATCTTTTATAAATGATGAGATAGTCTGAAAGAAATCACTTCTTCAGCATATAGTAACCTGTAACTTCATTTAGATACATGTAGTATTCTAAGAATATGTATTTTTGTTCAGTGGGTAGCTATGCTTTTTTCCACTTGTGTGTTGAATTGATTCTTTATACCACTCCTGAATGAGTAAGACTTCACGTTTACTAAAGCTCATTTGCTTGATCATTGAAGGGTATATTTTAAGTTTAATTCTGATTCTTACCTGTTAAGCTCCCTACAGTTTTAGTCAATGATGAAAAGTCTCTGAATGTGTTGAGGTCAAAAATAACTTGATTGTTTACAGGATAATAGAACATGTGATCTCAGTTGGACAAACGAGCAAATGTGCTTAAGCCTTATTAAAGTGTTGGACTAGCAAAGGGAAACAAATCAAAATGTCTGTATACGTTGCGTCTACAAAATGAAGCTCTGCTTTCAGGAATACTGCCTTAGCAAGCTTGGAACATTGATGGAACAGTTTTGAGGGTTTGTATCTGTACTTAATGGAAAACTCTGCACTCAAAACTCTATTCCTGAGAAAGCTTTCAGTAGCTGACTTTTCTGAAAATACTTATACATCACAAAATAAGTATAAGGGATATGCAATATAAATGTCTGATTTAAACTTAATACTTAAGTTTACAGATTTAATTTTTATGTCTTTATTTTTAAGCTGGTCCAAGCAGTGCCATTGGAGCTCAGGAAAGTACTGCCCAATTGTTGGTGTCAGATCCAAACCTCATTCATGTGTTAGTGAAATTTCTCTCCGGCACTAATCCTCATGGGACAAATCAACACAGTCCACAGGTAACAAGCAATTAAAACAAGAGAAAAGTTCTTTTTAATAGGATTTCAATACACTAGATGTGTATATGTGCTATTCATAATATATTATATCTTTATCCTTTTTTTAATGTGTAATCTTTGTTGCTTCTGATGAGCAGCCATAGGGAGGTTCACACTGGTAATACACTGAGTAGTGATTGTACATTTTTGCAGCTATCTGGAGACTTGCCACAGGGAGAGGATCCCATGCAATATGTCTGTAATTGTGTTCCATGTTAGGGTTTCTTGGTTGCATGTATGAAAAAAGTAATAAGAGTTCAGCTAATTTCCTAAAATCTTGTTGATTCACGATATAAGTGCCTATGTAGATTAAGTTTAATTATCTAATAATTCCAGAATATGAAATTATGCTTTTATTTTCTGCCTGTTTTCTGAAATCATGCGATGTCTACCTTTTCTCCTCAATTCAACTGATTTATTTTTTTTTTGCTTTTTGCAGCAAATTTTTCGGAAAATACATGGTATTTTCCAGAACTTAAACATTTTGTAGTGCCACTAATTTAAAGCATTTCTATGTAAATGTGTAGTTCATTAAAAAACATTCACAATAGCACAGAAATGTATTCTGTGTGAAGCATAGTTTGCATTGCTGAAAAGATAGTCTTAAGCTGCAAAATAAGTCTTAGGCAAAGAACCGAATTATTTGCTTTTTACTTATGGTTAGTAGTAAAAAAACACATAATATTAATGGATATGGAATAATTCTCCTGTGAAAACTGTGGATTTTTTCAGGAAGTAAATTAAGATACGTAATACTTTTCTGTTCTTAGAAAGTGTTCTTGTTAGATGCTACTGAATGTTCTTGAAGAAATTTCAGTTTATATAATACTTAGGAAAATTTTCCTCTAGGTTGGACCAACAGCGACACAAGCTATGCAAGAATTTCTTACTCGATTACAAGTGCACCTTTCTTCAACCTGTCCTCAGATGTTTAGTGAATTTTTACTGAAATTAGTTCATATACTTTCAACAGAAAGGTAAATCTTAAATATTATTTTTCCTTTTGTGCCTTCTTTGTCTTCAAAATCTGTGCAATTGTGAATCACAAGTTGTATATATCCTGCCTTGTCATACTGTCAAGTTATATATGGATGAAGATCATGCGTATTGCTGCAGCATCTGGGCTGCTTCTGGCACATGGAAGAGTGAGACTGAAATCCACACACAGCTGCCTGGGTGTGAGGGACAGTGACTAGAAGCACTAAGCAGTTGGTTGGACTGATTTTAGCTAGAGCTAAGATATAGGCATCGTTAAAGTATTCTAAAAGGCCTGAATTAATGAAAGATGCTAAAAATTTTTTGTAGATTAAAATAAAATAGATGGCTTTTATAACATGGTAGAATTAAATACAAGATTGCATAATCCTATTTATGTAATATCCGTATTTGTTGCTTTGTCTCTTTTCTTTCCTCTTCTCCTTACCCAATGGTGGAAAACCTCCTCTATCCCACTCTACTTCTGGAGCCTACTGATGTCTTGTCACCTCACTGGTATAGAGACGGAGTGCCACTGGCCAGGGAGGGATAAGAGCTTACAGTTTGTCTTTCGGAGTGCTGCTTCTTCAAGGCTAGGTCAATGGGCACAAGACTGTTGTATATACAGCCCTACACCAGTTATATGGGCTGCAGTATGTTAGGAACTATTGTTTATTTTTAGTATTGCTGTTCTGCTCATCCCCAGACAAAGGCTTCATAAAATTGGGGATGAGCTCCCTCAGTTTCTGGCTTCCCAGTAGGTGACACTTTGGTGTTATCCATTCTCTAATCATACAGAAAACAGTTTCAGCCTTCTCCGAGCATTTTATCTTAGTAACTTAAATTGAATGGGTGGTGTTTACTCGGTTACATTGATGATTGATCACTTATACAAGAAATGTCATAGTACAATAAAATCGTTAATTCACAATGAATCTTGGAATGCGTGTCTGCATGCCATAATTTGAAATAAGCTGATTAGATCACTGAAAGGATAGTTTTTGAAAGGTGTTCGATGTCTTATTGAGACAAACCAAAGGTGGGACTGAAATGTCATAGAATGGAAGTAAAGCACCAGAAGAGGATTTAGGTGGTTAGTTCTAAAACCTCAGGTAATTATTGAAGTATACATGACTTATCAAAACATAAGATTGATTGTGAAGAGAAGCCATATTTTACTGTTAGAACTAATTAAATGCCAAGTATCTTCTTCAGTGATGTTTCTATAAACTGTTTCGTTCTATATTTAGTTTTAAAAGTTGTAGTAAGATTAATCAATGTCAAAAGTTGCAGAGAAATGTATCAGTGACTTACACTTAAAGAATTGGCACCAGTTCTATTTTAAACATACTAATTCAAAAGGTTCATTTTATAGTCCACCAACATACATGTAAAAGCAACTGAGAAAATAAACATATCCCTAAAAGAGATCTTTCAAGCAGTCAACCCACAAGCACCAACCTGTGATAGTTTGAGTACCTTTTCATGGTCTTATGTCTAGTTACTGTTTAGATAGCTAAACCTGCTCATTCTTCTTTCTACCTTGGGGAAGAGGGCGGGAAAAAACAAAACCAAATAAAACCTATGGGAAGAAAAAAGTCATCATGATTTCTTGTTAGAAAACAAATGATTCTGATGATACTAAAGTGTTCGATGACTTCTTCCCGTTAAGTTTCCCTGCAAACATGTGAAACTTTTCGCCCACAACCAAACAAGACTGTATTCCAAGCCTATACCTACAAAGTTATCTGAATGATTAAAAAAAAATTATAGATCCTAGACTTTTTCAAAGGAAACTTTATTCCTCAGTGGTATCTGGAAAGTAATAGCATGAGCAGGTTTTGCAGTCTGTGTAATGACCAGTATATTAGAGAGTTATGAATGCTTGACTCGTATGAATGATCAGATTGGGCGTCAACATGCATTTCTGAAAATGGCTGGATTTTTAATTATTGCAAGTCTGGTGTGCTTTTTGAGTCTTAAAAATAAAAATCAAGGAAAAAAACCAACCAAAAATAATAAAAAACCCAAGGGGGTAAAAAAACCACACCAAAACAAAACCCCCATAAACCAACCCTGTTTAACTTGTTAATATTGGATAATGGATTTTTTTTTTTCTTTCTTTTAGGGGTGCTTTCCAGACAGGCCAGGGACCCTTGGATGCACAAGTGAAACTCTTGGAGTTTACCCTGGAACAGAATTTTGAAGTTGTATCCGTTAGCACTATTTCTGCAGTAATTGAGTCTATAACCTTCCTTGTGCATCATTACATTACATGTTCAGACAAAGTGATGTCTCGCAGTGGCTCAGACAGCTCTGTGGGTGCTCGAGCGTGTTTTGGAGGGCTTTTTGCCAATATTATCCGTCCAGGTGATGCCAAAGCAGTTTGTGGAGAAATGACAAGGGATCAGCTTATGTTTGATTTGTTAAAACTAGTGAACATTTTAGTTCAACTGCCGCTTTCCAGTAACCGAGAATATAGTGCTCGTGTTCCAGTAGCAAGCAGTACTACAGACAGTGTGTCTGATGAAGAAAAGGTTTCAGGAGGCAAAGACGGCAATGGAAGCAACCCTAATACTCAAGGATCGACTGCCTATGTGGCAGATTTGGTGTTAGCCAACCAGCAAATTATGAGCCAGATTTTGTCTGCACTTGGCCAGTGTAACAGCAGCGCTATGGCAATGATTATTGGTAGGTATTTCATAAATAATTTGCACCTCTTTCCCCAAGGGTAGAAACTCCACAGCCACTCTGGGCAGCCTGTTACAATGTTCAGTCATTCTTAAAGCAGAAAAGCCTTTTTCTTATGCTTAAATGAAATTTCTTGCGTTTCAATCTGCCTGTCACATGCCTCTATGCATAGATTAGATTTAGTCTTCAGTTTGTATTGTAGACAACGTTACCTCAGTTGTTATCTGTGTGCTGCATTGTTTTTCTTTCTGAAAAAGACAAGTTACAATTGTGGCCTTCTCACAGAATACACAGACTTCTCTATTCCTGTGTTTTACCAGAAATCTCATTAACATCATTGTCTGGAAGTTCCAGTGATGTATTTGTGGGTGGGATCTTCCTACTCCAAAGAAGTGAGAAAACTGATGATACTTTAAACGGCAGAATTGCTGTTTGTCAGACATGTACCTAAGGCACATTTTCTCAGAGAGATTATCTTTGACTTGCTTGTGAGCTGTGTTGATAGCATATTTTATTAGCATAAATGAAATGATAAGTGATAGCAGAGTTTATGAAACCGTTGACTAGAATACTATGAAAGTCACGGCATGCACAAAACTTGAAAAAAATTTTGCAGCAGGATAGGCAAAGAGCTTGTGCTCCCTTTCAGGCATAGTAGTTGTGAAATTTTGTTTACTTTATAATGATTCTCTTGTTTCGAAGAAAGTACCTCTGGCCTTTTCTGTGCTAGTCTCTTTTAAACAGATGTGAAACTATTAACCAGTGCTATTATCAGAATCACAGAATCGCTTGGTTGGAAAA